GGACTGGGAGGGACTGGGAGGGACTGGGGTCATTCTGGGGTCACTTTGGGGTCACTTTAAGTTCATTTTTGGGTCACTTTGGGGTCATTTTGGGGTAATTTTTGGGGTCATTTTGTGGTCACTTTGGGGTCATTTCTGGGGTCACTTTTGGGTATCTTTGGGGTCACTTTGGGGTCACTCAGGGGTCACTTTGAGTTCATTTTGGGGTCACTTCTGGTGTCATTTTGGGGTCACTTTTGGTGTCATTTTTGGGTAATTTGGGGTCATTTTGGGGTCACTTTGGGGTCACTTTTGGTGTCATTTTTGGGTAATTTTGGGTTTACTTTGGGGTTACTCCGGGGTCACTCAGGGGTCACTCTGTGGTCACTTTGGGGTCACTTTTGGGGTCATTTTGGGGTCACTTCTGGGGTCATTCCGGGGTCACTTTGGGGTCACTTTTGGTGTCATTTTTGGGTCACTTTGGGTCACTTCTGGTGTCATTTTTGGGTGACTTTGGGGTCACTCAGGGGTCATTTTGGGGTCACTTTTGGTGCCTTTTTTGGGTAATTTTGGGGTAATTTTGGTGTCATTTTGGGGTCACTTTGGGGTCACTTCTGGGGTCATTCTGGGGTCACTGCGGGGTCACTTTTGGTGTCATTTTTGGGTCACTTTGGGTCACTTTGGGTCACTTTGGGGTCACTTTGGGGTCACTTTTGGTGCCTTTTTTGGGTAATTTTGGGGTAATTCTGGGGTCACTTTGGGGTCACTTTAAGTTCATTTTTGGGTCACTTTGGGGTCATTTTGGGGTCACTCAGTGGTTACTTTTGGGGTCATTTTGGGGTCACTTTTGGGTATCTTTGGGGTCACTTTGGGGTCACTTTGAGTTCATTTTGGGGTCATTTCTGAGGTCATTTTGGGGTCACTCTGGGGTCACTTTGGGGTCATTTCTGGGGTCACTTTTGGGTCACTTTTGGTGTAATTTTTGGGTAATTTTGGAGTCACTTTTGGTGTCATTTTTGGTGTCATTTTTGGGTAATTTTGGTGTCATTTTGGGGTCACTTTGGGGTCACTTTAAGTTCATTTTGGGGTAATTTTGGGTTCATTTTGGGGTCATTTTTGGGTCACTCAGGGGTCACTTCTGGTGTCACTTTGGGGTCACTTTGGGGTCACTTCTGGGGTCATTCCGGGGTCACTTTGGGGTCACTTTTGGTGTCATTCCGGGGTCACTTTGGGGTCAATTGTGGTGTCATTTTTGGGGTCACTTTGGGTTCATTTCGGGGGTCACTTTGGGGTCACTTTGAGTTCATTTTGGGGTCATTTCTGAGGTAATTTTGGGGTCACTTTTGGGGGCAATTTTGGGTCATTCAGGGTCACTTTTGATGTCATTGATGTCACTTTGGTATCATTTTTGGGTAATTTTGGTGTCACTTTGGGGTCATTTTGGGGTCACTTGGGGGTCACTTCTGGTGTCATTTTGGGGTCACTTTTGGTGTCATTTTTGGGTAATTTTGGGTTTACTTTGGGGTCATTTGGGGTCATTTTTGGGGTCACTTTGGGGTCAATTGTGGTGTCATTTTTGGGGTCACTTTGGGTTCATTTCGAGGGTCACTCTGTGGTCACTTTGGGGTCACTCTGGGGTCACTTCGGGGTCACTTTTGGTGTCATTTTTTGGGTAATTTTGGGGTAATTTTGGGTTCATTTTGGGTTCATTTTGTGGTCACTTTGGGGTCACTTTGGGGTCACTCTGTGGTCACTTTGGAGTCACTTTAAGTTCATTTTGGGGTCACTTTGGGGTCATTTTGGTGTCATTTTTGGGGTAATTTTGGGGTCACTTTGAGGTCAATTTGAGTTCATTTTGGGGTCACTTTGGGGTAAGTTTGGGGTCACTTTTGGTGTCATTTCTGGGGTCACTTTGGGGTCACTTTTGGTGT